GGGGAACACGCACACACACACTCGCTCTGCGGTCGGGTGGACTGTTGCAGCTGCCCCAGAGCAGTTCTCCGTTAGTCTGAGGTCAGGTATAGAAAGCCTCAGGCTCAAAGCAGGAGCTGGTTGTGAAGTTATGAGCAGCCAAACACAGATGGGTAGGAGTTAGGCTGGATGCGAGCTCCGAATTGTCATCATCGTGTTTAACTGTTTAGATAAACCATCGTGAAAAGTCCTGGGTTCGAGCCAAAAGCTTAAGATGGATAAGCGTCTTGTTGTAGTGTTTTACGACAAGCTGGAAGGATGGCACTTCAACAGAAAGACTTTGGCGTTTTATTGCGATTGTAGAAAATGTATCCATGATAGTCCTCAGTCGCGTTTATTGTCAGCACTGAGTTAATTAGCCCGTTGTTCTTTTCAGATCGGTGGTTTCGTTTGGATCCAAAAACAGAGCTATTGGTGTCTCAGCTAAAAATCAGGTAGGTCATTTCCTGGCATTTGTGCATAACAGCAAATCGGCCAGTGCAAACTGCTCAAGTACCAGTGGGTGTAAAGAGTTGGCTTGCTGTAGTTAAAACCAAACAAATTCATTTCCCTTGTCAAACCTTTTATTTTAGAAATGCTGCACTATGCTGCCATGCTTCCTTCAGAGAAATGCAGGATGTTTTTGCTAGAATGTTACTGCTCTCATTTCATAATGGTAATATTTTCCAGTTGAGTACGTTCCTTTTCTGACAACTTAAAGTCGTTTCTTTTCCTAATGGTTGTATGTAGGATTTTCCTTGCACTTGAACAAAAACATTTTGAATACTGTGTATAATTTCTTAAAATTAGATGCAAAGGGAAAGTCTTAGCTTAGTTTCTTAAAGCTATTTAGGTACCTTACTACCTTTGGTTACATTTACACAGGTAGATGCCTGTGGTTTTGAAGGTGTAAGTCCTTAGGTTTGGTTTTTTTGATTGAGGTGCTCTGAAATATTGAATGTTTTCTTCATTAAAGTAGTATTTTAAAAGGAGAGCTTAATTCTGACAAATCTTAGAATAACTAAATGTAATGGTTAAATAAATCCTCAGGTACGGTATCGTAGGTTGTTACATAACTGCCACTGGTGGAGACCAAGCGTGCAGCCTCCGCTGGCCTGTACGGATCCCTTATGTGGTAAAAGGACTGCAGTGGGCTTCCATGGAGAGAGCACTAAAGGAGACTTCCCCCCCCCCACTGTAATAGCTCCCCTCTTAATTTTGAACAGCCAAGGAAACATGAATAGGTTACATATGCACAAGCACACATACACTTTCAGTTACAGGTTAACATTTGGAGTAATAAAGTAAATACATATATTTGTGTTTTTTCCTTAAATTTCATTTTAGCATTGCTTTTGTTTGACTGCTTCCACTGTTTCATGTCAGAAACTAGTATGATTCATCAGTGTGCAGAAATGAGTTGTTACTCAAAACAGCAAGTGATCTGAATCCTATGTACTCTCCAGTGTGTTTCAGTGTTGGTAGATTATTCCAGAAAATGCTGTTGAAAATGTGAAGTAAGCTGAAAGTGAAGTAGATTCTGTCTCTCGAATTGCTTTTAAAAGCATGTATTTGCAGTGATGAACACCTATGACTTCAGTTGCCTTCAGACTAACCTTTATAAGATGTTACTATATCTTTCATGCTTGGTTGTCGTAGCAGTTGAAACTAAATATTTTTGCCAGAAGAAAAGAATGCGATACTTAAATGCTCTGAAATATTCTACCATTTTATTTCTCTTGCTGTAATCAGTCCAGTTTGGCTGACCGCCTGAGGTGTAAATTGTGTTTCTTCTGTAAATGTAGAAGTTTCTTGAGATGGACAACTGAAAGTTATATTTTCAGTATCCTCAGGTGTAGTAGCTACTTAAGTCAGGGAGTAAAATGATCCTTTTCATTTGAATGAGTTTCTTATTTTAAAAAAAAAAAAAAAAACAGACAAAAAACCCCCACAGAACAAAAGAAAAAAAAAACCAACAGTTTTTGACTGGTGACTTCAGCAATGTGATTATGTGTGAGAGTGCTCATAATACTCCGAGGTGCCCTCTTTCTTTAACACTTGAGGAGCTGCTGTTGGAGCGAATTCTCAGAGAATTTCTGTTTCTTTTCGATAAGTCTGGTAGCATTGGAGATGAGAGCAGTATGTTAGTTAACAGACCATAATTCTCAGCTTTCTTAATTGTGACTAAGCAGAAAGGTATTAAAACATGCTACAGACCTAATGGCATACAATTACTCTAAAAATATCTTAAGATTGTTCTCTTAGAAAAGGCTCTGAGCTTAATTCTAAATTAGGCTATAAAAGCTACCAGAATGTTTGTGCTTCTCTGCCCACTGCATGGTAATTATTTTTGCTTCTACATTCTTCAGCAATACAGCTGTCAATTACATAGCATTCAAGTACTCTGAAGTTATGGCTATACCAATAAATGAAACCATGCTGGGAAATGATCTTGGACACAGGAACCTAAATACTCTATTGCATTAAAGTACTGGAATTGTTCCTGGCATGTTTTTTGGCCTGTACTAACTTGTGCTTTTACTAATAATTGCTGAGCACTGTTTGGTGATGAGAGTAAACCAGGGATGATTCCCAATAGGGAATTTGGGTCTAACATCTCTCTCTCCACTGAAAGCTTTCTGAAAGTTACTGTTTAAAAGTATGGGTATGGCCTGCTTCTTTGTCAGTGAGCTTTTCTGTTGGAGAACTGTCATAGTTGCATAGCTTTCTAATACAAAATGTAGCACAAATTCTTCAATTCTATGATAGAAAATTTTGCATGCTATAAGAAACTGATACTTTCCTTTGAGGATAGTGAATGCTAGGAATCTTCCTTGATATGCTCGTCATTTGAGTTATTATCATGCAATCTCTTGGTACCTGCCTAAATCTATTCTGGAGAGAACAACACACTTTTATAGTTTCTCTCCAATAGAATAGGATTCATTCTGCTCTGAGATACTTGCAGTATCTCTTTTAGGCTGGACTAGTCTAATTTCTGTTCTGCATTGCATTCCTGATAAAAAATTCTTTAGGTCAGTTGGTTCTGTGGGGAGCTTGCACTATAGTTTAGCATATACTTTAAACTGATATTGTTACCAGAAAAAGTCTCCTGTTTCTTGCTGTTGTCTACGCATTGTATCCTTTGATCTGGTACAAGAATTTGAGTGACTGCTAGGTGAACATGAACAGGGAAATCATGTGGTTTAAAAGTAGCTCAGGGTGAAAAAAGTAAGTATTGAAATGTACGGGGAGATTTACCAGGTTGAAACTTAGTAACTGTGAAAACAGTTGTTAGCACTTAATGTGATGGGGTTTAAAGTGAATGGTTGGAGGTGAGGTGGCTGGGATTGGAGTACCAGTTTACCTTCATTGCAAGTACTTGTGAAGCTGGCTCCTATCTTGAATTGTTTGAATTCTGTCTAAATTAGGTGACTAAAGTAGTAGGCACTATAGATCCTGTTATTGGTCATCTGATTGCTTCGAGGTTTTAGAGATACTTGTATAATTCTTATAATACTTAATATATAATGATCTGTAAGTATCTATGTCTCTGACTCATATAATCTTCTGTAGTAATAAGCTGATATAAAGTACCAGATAGCAATTACAGGTGTTATAGAAACAGATGTGATAAGTGAGTGAGCAGTTCTCTTAAAACTTGACTGATGCTTGGGGGCATACAGAGCAGCACTGAACATGCAGGTTGATTAAGAGTGGATTTCTAAATATCCTGTATTTCTTTACAGCAAATTACTCATGCCCACAACACAGTATCTAACTTCAAGAGATTCCATGGCCGTGCATTTAATGATCCTTTTGTTCAGAAGGAAAAAGAAAAGTTGAGCTATGATTTGGTTCTTATGAAGAATGGTGGAGTTGGAGTAAAGGTAAATTTGCAGTGTATCTTTTGGGGTTTTACAGCTAAATTTAAAAGCTTACATTTCAGCACCTAGTCATGAAAATACAGGTTTCATTTAATTACCCTAAAGGTTTTCTTTAACCTTTCTTTTAAAGAGGAGCTCTTGTATGAATAGACAGCTTCATCTTTAAATAGTGGATGTTAACTATCAAATTAAGGTTCATTTGTGAGCAATTGCTGAAATATGAGCTTGCCTGTTGGCAAATTGCACATCCAGCTCAAACATCCCGGCAGAAAAACTGGTAAGATAATTACGAGATCATATGGTTTTACTTCAAAGTATTAACCTTTCTGTCATTCTTGTGTGGAATGCATTGCAACAGTCTAACTATGTGGTTACGAATTCCTTATAAAGTAGTAAGAACTCTTCTTTAGAATAATTGCTATAAATGAGTGACATGTTTGTCTTTAGTGGACTGCCTGGTATAAGTTACTTGCAACAGATGTTCAAAACCAGTTTGTACCACATTGCAGGTTTGACTCTCGCTTACATTTAAAGGAGTTCGCTGATACAATGTTAGGTTTTCCTAGAATAGGTGCAGTTAATCACATCGTATTCATTTACAGAAGTATATAAAAATATTGATAATGAAGTTTGCTGGCATAACAGATGCTGCTGCTTCACTAATGAAGACTCTAGCTTACGGCTGTGCATTTAAGACTAGGATGTTTAGAGAACAATTTTTCTATAAAACCTGAAATTTTAATTTAATTTTAAACTTAATTTTTCCCCAAATTGGACTGATGTGAATAAAAGGCAAGTGCTATTTTCAAGAATAAATTGTAACATGTTCCTTCACTTCATCATTGCCATTTATTCTATTACACAGAAAAATGGTGATTTAAGAGTAATTTCTTGGCAAGGCAGCAACAAATAAACTTTTTGCTGAGCTTCATCTTAAGCTTTTAGTTGCTTTATGTGCATAGGTGAACTGTTGTTGCGCAGTTCTTTGTTTCAGAGACTCTTCACATATTTGAGCAGAAGTATAAAAATGTCAGGGGAAAATAGTCAGCAAGTAATTCTGGAGTTTTTTTGCAGTTGGCAGCAGTTTGAAAATTGATGGCTATTTTTACGTTTTTGGCATAACGCTGTGTGACCATGTCTAGCTTTAGTCACATTTTAGACTTGTGTCACTTCTAAAATCACTTCCTAGCCATTTACTTCATCTATAGAGTTGATATAGTTCTTGATGTTTTAAGTCTGTGAAAATGGAATTACTGCTTCTGTAGACACTCAACTGGGAAATTAAATTGTAAAGTGAATTCTGTAGTGAAATAATTAAGCATGTCATGATTGATAGAGTATTAATCAGCAGTGTATCAAAAAACATTAAATATAAGTAATTTTTCCTCTAGTTGAAATAATGGAATTATTTTACCTATTTCTTCTATCCAGGTCATGTACATGGATGAGGAGCATATTTTCAGTGTGGAACAGATTTCAGCTATGTTATTGACTAAATTAAAGGAGACTGCAGAGAGTAACCTGAAAAAGCCAGTAACAGACTGTGTTATTTCTGTAAGTAATTGTAGTGCACAGGAACATTATGTCTTTTAACTTCAGCTATTGAGGGCATTTTGTTTTTATTTGTGTAGCGTGAAAAAGGGCACTGCGTAAGCACTTACAAAGGGATTAATCCTAACTAACTTTAGAGCTTTTGACTTAAAGGAATCCCAGGGCCGCTTCCATATTCCAGACCCTGACGCACTTCATGAACTCATTCTCGTGGCGATGTCTGAACTTTTGGATCCAGAACATTTCTGGGATCTAGGTATATACCCTTCTGCTGCAGCTTGTTTCCGAGATTAAGCACACTAATTACTCATGAAAGACACCTTTGTTTATCAAATTTGCTCTCTGGCAGCTGAAAACCTTATTTTCTGTCCTGTTTATGTTCATCCTCTCAGTAAGTTAATTTTTTTTTTTTTTCAATTTATGACTGCACAGAAAATGACCTCAGATAAAGAACAGTCATTCCGTTGCAAAGCCTGAGTATAAAATAATGTCTGTCTCAGTGTTCTCAATGACTCTTTGAACAAGTCTGTCTCATGTTGCATCTAGGAATATTTAGTTCTGTTATTAGAAGAGTTTGTTCTCCAGTTGATACCTGGAAAGTTAGTGTCTTCTGATGATGTAGTTTCTGTCACTGAGGACATCAGATGTCACTGTCCAATGCCAATACTAGAGATCTGTAGCAAATTTTCAAAAACATATTCCTTCAGTATCTCTTACCAGTTCTTGCCCAAAGTAATTTTGACCAAAACAAATTCTCTCGATTCGTTATCCCTTACTTCTTTGCATCTCTCACATCTGTAATATTGCTGTACTTCCCCCCCCCCCCCCCCCCCCGCCCTTACTTTCTTGGACAGGAATACATCTACTAATTCTGATTAAGGTTATTCTATGTCTCCATAATACCCATTTCATATTTTGTACCAGTAGTTAAGGTTCCTAGCATTTGTATACAAATAATTCATTTGTTTCTTGCTAGTGTGTGCTCATGTAAACGAGCTGATGCTAGTTTAATTCCATCTCAGATTGACTGAATAGAATATTTGAAGTCTTTATTCAGTACAGTAGTTGCATGTTAAAAGACTTGCAGTGAGCAAGTGTATTCCTCAAAGAGGAGGAATAGATACCATTTTAAAATGAATACTTTCAAATAAACAGTGTGATATCTCATTTTCTGGAAATAACTTCCCATTCTCACCTGTTTTCTTCAGGTTCCATCATTTTTCACAGATGCTGAAAGGAGGTCCCTTCTGGATGCAGCTCAGATTGTTGGATTAAATTGTCTTAGATTAATGAATGACATGACAGCAGGTAAGTAGGGTAAAATAACAGTTTCTGCAAATGAAAGGTGTGATAGGGGGTGCATTTAGTTACTCTAAGAAACAGGGCTGATGTGAAAAATCAGCCATGAGACATAAACGTTCTAAAAACTTGTTGCTCTTCTCTTGATTTACAGTCTTTCTTTTTAATGTCTTCTGTGTGAAGGGGTAGAAGAGATGAAGTTTTAGTGATAGTTATCTCTTTGAATCACCACATGTGCCTGGACTACTTGTCCGCTTAGTTTACTGGCCAGATTTCATGGAAGAAACCTTATGATGCACAGTTGTGGGATTTAAGCACTCTTAAAGGAAGTTCCTTGATTAAGCATCAACACTTAGTAATTTCCAAGGCTTTTGTCAGTATAATTGTGGTTTTAAAACACACACACACGCAAAGGCAATTCATCTCCTTTACTAATCTGTTCAGAACTCTAAAAACACATTGGCAGAACCAAGAGTTTATTTGGTCTTTCTTAAAACAAGCGTTCTTACCCTGTCTTCCTGCATTTTTCTGTTTGTTTTTGGTGAGAGTGCATTTGTTCCATGTTTTTAAATGGCATAATAACTAGCACTTGTTTCCTGGGGGAAGGGTTGGGAAGTAGAGGTCTGTAGCAGAAGACAATTACTTTTCTGCTCCCACTGCCCACATTAGTTAGATAAGTAAGGAAGAGTTTACTTTGGGAGAATGTTCCTTGTGAGCTTTTTTGGTGCACAGCAGATGGATTCATGCTTTTGAATTTTATATTTTATTTTATTTTTTTAAGGAGTAAAGCAATCTTAAATATGCATTAATGGAGTGGTATCTTAAAATGTTTTTCCAGAATCAGTTTCAGGTGGTAATGTATAGGATTTCTAGTAAACATAGTTGTTTCATCAGTATTATGATCTTCACATTGAAGGCTATGTATTTGCACCTAATGAAGAGCAAATCTGACTGTATTGTTGCAAAAGCCACAGGTGCCTGTTTGTATCATCTAGCTGAAGCTTAATTCTTTGTTTATATAGCAAAGAGTGCTATAGAGAATGTGTGGTAGTGTGAATTCTTGGGCTGGGTGAGTGTAGACCTCACAGTAGGTACACTTGGTCCCATGTGCCTGGATTCTTCTGAGTTACAGGGCTTGCACATCTCTAAGGTGACTGTGGAGAGAGGAGGAGGAAAGACAAATATCCAACCCTCTATTTTTAACCTCAAATTCCATTTCCAAAATGTTTATGAAGAAACTTTGTATCCATAAAGAAAAAAAGTTAGTTTAGCACTTAAAAAAAAAAAAAAGAAATGCTTTCCAACTTTAGCAGTCAAAAAAAAGTACCTTTCCAACTCCTGAAGTAATCCTTCACACCTGATTCAGAGATGACCTCTCATGATGGGGTGATATAAGCCAACTAAAGGCCTTGCCAAGAAAGGATTGTCACTTCCTTTTTGTTTGTTTGGCACAACACATTAGCCCAGTCTTTGGCCATGCAAGAACCTTGACAGCTTTTCGGGACTTTTTAGCAAGGATCTTTAGAAGCTTTGTCATTGGCATGAACAGTCCCCAGAAAAGCAGATAGCTCTTTCATCCCCTTAGCAGCACCAACAGCCTTTCTTTACTGTGTAGCACATAGCATTTCTAATTTTCTTTTCTTTACCTTGCAAGGCTAATGAGTACTATCCAAGTTTTTCTAATATTTTAAATGTAAGAATCTTTGATTATGTCTTTGGGGAAGGGGTCCTGAGGTATAGTAGGGCAGAAAAGAAAAATAGCTTGGTTTCTTTTTTAACAAAAGACAAATTCTGCTGTGACTTACTGAGTTTTGTTCATAAATTTAGCTTGGAAACAAGGGCAATGTGTTCAGTCTGCTCAGAAATACAAATGTTATGTGAATGAACAGACTAATACACAATTTCAGTCAAATCTAGATCTCGAGGATATAACAGATACATTTCATGAAATAGAGTTGCTGGTTTTAATTAACTACCTCTTGATGACTGCTTGTGGGAGGGATTAATGAGTGCTGGTATTGGGTTTTTATAGATGCCAAAGAATCCACACAGATGAGAATGAATGCACCAACTGCAGGGGAACTTCATTAGACACCAGAATCCATAAATCTCAAGCCTCTGATCAGTGGGAAACTTGGCTGTCCTTGTTCCAGATGGTCTGGAACTACTGCTTTTGATGTGAGAGAGGGAGTCAGTGTCCTTTTCTCCTCACGTGAGAGGATGTCAGTGTGACTATAAAACATCGCTCTTCAGAGCACGTATTCCCAGCCTTCCTTACCACCTTCTCAAATGCTCTAATTCTCTTGCCTGATAATCTGTCTAGTATCCTGGCCATCATCTTAATCTTGGGATTTTTTCGTCCTACACAAATGGACATTCTTGCACATTCTATCTCATGTCAAAATCTCAGCCTTTCCTACATAACCATGTAGCCAAGACTCTCTAAGGTTTTATTTATCTTCAATTACTGCATCAGCCTCCTGCCTAGCTTTGACACTCCTATCTATCCAGAATGAATGCTGCTGCAAAACTGTGTTCTATCCTTTGACTTCATTATCCTGTGTTTACATGCCTCACTGGCTTCTATTTTACACTTTTGATGTACTTCACAAACTGTCCCTGCCTGATAGTCTGTATAGACTGAGATTCTTCCCTTTTGCAGCCTCTGCTGACCATTTATACCATTCTCAGACCAAAACCTTCATGCCTGGGAGATACTCCTTGTAAACACAAAACTGGGTTTGGGTTTTGTTGTAAAGATGCTCTGTGATTTTGATTACTATGGATTACTAAGCAAAGCAAAAAAATTAGTTGTTAATAAACAGATCAAAGTAGAAAACCCCTGAACAGGGTTGTTGCTTCTTAGTTTTGCATGCTTAAACACTTAGAGAGCATATACATGACTGAGAAAGGATCTTCTGCTTCTCGGATCCTACAACATATATTAATTTAATAAAGCTTCCATGTAGGTAAGACCTTGCATAGGTATATGTCTGGATTCATCTTGCTGCTCTTGATCCTCTAGCTTAATATTCACAGGGATGTGATGGCATGCAATTGGAGACTCACTAGAGATTGCGTGGATAATATCTGACACTTGTTTTGCAGTGGCTCTGAATTACGGAATTTATAAACAAGACCTTCCAGCTCCTGAAGAGAAGCCACGGATAGTTGTGTTTGTTGATATGGGACATTCTGCATTTCAAGTATCAGCCTGTGCATTCAACAAGAGTAAACTAAAGGTAGTAAGATTAAACGAAAACAAAAGGGTTTGAGACATTAGAATCAACTAGTCTGTAAACCTGCCTTGTTTTTAAAATTCTGAAATAATTTAATGCATGGGAAGTGGCAATGAGTCAAAAGGTGAAGATTTTTATCAGTGTCCTTCATTTCATTAGAATGGTTTCAAACAGAGGCTGTAAACTCCTTGCAATATGCACCAATGTGAGATATACAATACAACTGCTATCATTTAGTTTGTTTTCTCTAAGTGGATGTGTGTATAGATTAAAATTGTGAATGCTTAGGATTGTCACCTAGTTACTTAGTTCTAGTTCCGCTGTAAAAGCGAAGAGCAATTTTTGGCTGATATGGTTGATGGAAGTACTTAAGCCTGCGCATTGGAAGATAGGCTGACGTGTCCCCAACCTTTTTGAAGCAAAGGCTTGCTGATGTTGGAAGACTGCTATTCCATTTGATTTTTTTACTGAGCGTAAGACTAAATAATTGTGTTCTTTCAAACCAGGTACTTGGCACAGCATTTGACCCTTTCCTAGGTGGAAGAAACTTTGATGGAAAGCTAGTAGATTACTTCTGTGCAGAAATAAAATCAAAGTACAAACTGGATCCAAAAGCAAAAGTTCGAGCTCTTCTTCGTCTGTATCAGGAATGTGAGAAGCTGAAGAAACTGATGAGTTCAAATAGCACAGACATTCCCCTAAATATTGAGTGTTTCATGAATGATACTGATGTATCTGGAAAAATGAACAGGTGAGTTCTATACAAGACAGGCAGTTGCTTTGGTGGCCGTATTTCTTAAACAAGTGTTTCTCTCCATATTTGAAAGAAACTTACTGTGCTAAAATTAAGTGCAAGTGCTGAATAGCTGTGGCATTTTTGTGATGCAAGAATAACTAAGGCTGTGAAATGTTCAGCTATCTGAGCAATGTTTCAGTGTGATGATGCATGCATAAGAAGCTTGGATTCTTTTTTGTAGAATGACACATTCTTAAAACCATGGACTGATGCATGCAAACCAGACCCGGGGGGGTTGGCTGCATATTTGGGCCTCCTGCGTATTTTAGGTAACCTAAATCCCATATTGCTCTCAAGATAGCAACAACTGAAGCTTTGTTCCTTTTTTCTGTTCTTACAGTACTGTGGATATTGGCAGAGAAATGGAGGACAGAAACGGTGCTTGTGGGGGATGACTTGATTATGTCCTGAGTGTAAATGAAGTCTCTGTGTGTGTATCTGTCTCTCTCTTGCACACACTCACAGCCACAACTTAATTTGTAGTCACTGTTAGTCCTGTAACTGCTGCCGAGAGAGTGGTGGGGTTTTTTTTCCTTCCCTCTAGTATTTAGGCAATGGTTTTTCATTGTAAAGGAAGCATCAGTGCTTTCTGTATTCTTATCTGTAACTTCTGCTGGGAGGCAAATATATAACATCTGCCCCGACGATACCTTTTATCTTATTTAAATACATTGATAGCAGCATAGGAAAATCTGTAAGCAACTGTTCATGTACTGCCTTGTCTGTGATTGTCACTTCAGCCTACTCACCGGGTTTAGCTTTAAGTCCCTTTGCAGTGTAGTTAACAGACCTGGTCACCATCAGTTTGGAAACAAGAATACAAGGAAAACTTAGTGGTGGGACAACCGTTCTTTGGTTAATTCCATTTCTTTCCTTAGGTCACAATTTGAAGAATTGTGTGCTGACTTGCTGCAAAGGATAGAGATGCCTCTGGTTTCATTAATGGAACAAACACAACTGAAAGTGGAAGATGTAACTTCTGTAGAGATTGTGGGAGTTTCCTGCTGTCAAAGAGAAGATTGCTAAATTCTTTGGCAAAGATGTCAGTACAACGCTGAATGCAGATGAAGCCATAGCTAGGGGCTGTGCTCTACAGGTATAGTACTGGCAACACTTGATAAACCTAAAACATTTCTTGAGATCACTTTTTTTAAGAATTAGCCATGCAGTTATGAGAAATGGCAGAAGTGGTCCATTTTAAAGCACACAAGGGAACATGCATGTTCACTGGGTCTTTTTATGGGACTATGCTGTTTAAAAATTCCAGAGTACTCCTCTGTGGTGCAGTACTTCACTGAAAGTGCTGATGCTGGGTGTATTCTTTAAGCAGTCCCCTCTTTGCTTCAAAATCAGATACCTGCCAGATCAATACCTGGCTCCGAGCCTGGTGTCACCAGCAGAATTTTGGGTTTTTTGATCATGGGTTGGTCTGCATGACACTAGGCCTGCTGGTGACAGATGGGGTACACCTCTCTCGAAGGGGGGAAAAGGATCTTTGCACAGGAGTTAGCAGGGCTCATTGAAAGACCTTTAAACTAGATTTGAAGGGGGAAACAGATGAAACCAGGCTCATGAGAGAGAAGCCTGGGGGCGGCATGCCAATGTTTGAGGGACGGTGTGCCAGCGAGGTCCTTCGGTCTGCCATCTCAATGGAGGTAGGGGTTGGAGATCCATGCAGCAGCAAAGACACAAGGATTATAGATGTGTTAGAAACCACGGAAGTGCCTGAGAATGGTCACATAAGAATTAGGGTTTCTCCCCCAAAAAGGCGGTGGGATCAATAGGCCAACTGGAGTGCATCTACACCAGTGCACACAGCATGGGCAGCAAACAAGAGGAGCTGGAAGCCATTGTGCAACAGGAAAACTGTGCTATAGTTGCCATCACGGAGACATGGTGGGATGACTCACAACTGGAATCATGCAATGGATGGCTATAAACTCTTCAGAAGGGATAGGCAAGGAAGGAGAGGCCATGGGGTAGCCCTGTACGTTAGGGAGTGTTTTGATTGTCTAGAGCTTGATAATGGTGATAAGTTTGAGTGTTTATGGGTGAGAATCAGGGGGAAGGCTAACAAGGCAGATATCATGATGGGAGTCTGTTATAGACCACTCAACCAGGATGAAGAGGCAGATGAAATATTCTACAAGCAGCTGGGAGAAGTCTCGGAGTCGCTAACCCTTGTTCTTGTGGGGGACTTCAACTTACCAGATGTCTGCTGGAAATACAATGCAGTTAAGGAGTGCCCTGGAGTGTGTGGAAGGTAACTGCCTGACACGGCTGGTGAGCGAGCCAACTAGGGAAGGCGCCCTGCTGTACCTTTTGTTTGTGAACAGAGAAGGACTTGTGGGTGATGTGATGGTTGGAGGGCTGTCTTGGGCATAGTGATGACAGAATGACAGAGTTTTTGATTCTTGGAGAAGTAAGGAGGGGGGTCAGCAGAACTGCTACCTTGGACTTCTGGGGGGCAGCCTTTGGCCTGTTCAGGAGCCTGGTTGACAGAGTCCCTTGGGAGGCAGTCCTGAAGTGCAAAGGAGTCCAGGAAGGCTGGACATTCTTCAAGAAGGAAGTCTTAAAGGTGCAGGAGCAGGCCGTCCCCATGTGTGGAAAGACGAGCCAGTGAGGAAGAAGATTCGCCTAGATGAACCAAAGAGCTTTGGCTGGAACTCAGGAAAAAAAGGGGAGTTTTTGACCTTTGGAAGAAGGGGCAGGCAACTCAGGAGGGCTACAAGGATGTCATGAGGTTATGCAGGGAGAAAATTAGAAGGGCCAAAGCCCAACTAGAACTTAATCTGGCTACTGCCATAAAAGA